ATGGATTGGGAAAGGAGGAGACAGTGAAAATTCTGTGGTACATGGTGGTACCCCAATTGGTAATACATTGGTACCTGCCGGATTAATGTTCACCGGAGGCCGRAGATCGGAGATAGGAGGTCGGAGAGAGGAGTTTTTTAAAAATACCTAAAATGCCCTTTAATTATAATTTKAACTCAAATTACCATAATTACTAATTTCCTTATTTATCCGTTGATTTGTGGTTAAGATGAGTTCTCACAGTTACCACAAACAACTCAGTTCTCCCTTGAATAGGCCCCTATATATATATATATATATATATATACACATACATATATATATATATATACACATACATATATATATATATATATATATGTGTGTGTGTGTAGACGACTAAGCAGACAAAAATACACTGCAACACACCCAATATTACTATTACAACATATTTCATTGTATAATAAATATCAAGCAATGCTAATCAACTTTCCATCAGATATACTATGTAGACAGGCTAGAATACACTAACAACAAATATATATAAAACAGTATAAACATCAATATGCCTGATTACAACAACAAAAACGATAACATAAACACCAACATTATCAGTGGAACTATAGAACTTTACGTCAATAAATTAGAAATGCTTATAGATAACCTCGTGAATCATTCTTTTCCAACTTCGTTGGAGAAATAAAAATTCTCTTGTGGCCACGGAGATTCAAATGCGGTGACTTCGGGCTATCTGTAAAGCAGGTGGTCGTTCTGGGATTAGTCGGCTCGCATAACGGGTTGGATATCCAGGTTAATAAAAAAAAGATCTATAGAAGCCATGATTACGATACGTATCAACTATTATGGTGAAGCCAAATGTCGTATTAGAAAAATAAACACGAGTGAGATGCAATCTCATTGTGCTTTCAGAATGAAAACAACTGTAAGAAACCAAAACCCCCCCAAAATTCAGTACAAATAACAAATTAACATGTAACAAGTTTAAAAGATGGTGAGGATCGCCATAATAGCTGATCAGAAATTGATTAAGGGCAGAATGGAAAAGTATAAACCTATATAGGGCTGCAATTTAATATAATCCCACCAGTTGCCAACCTCAAAATTTAATATAAACGACAATTACATGTATTAGAGAAGGGAAAAGCAGTATAGTAACGATCAAAAATGTTTTAGGATTATGCAGTTATTACATTTTTTATTAATTAAATAAAAATGCTACCCTTTATATATACAGAGAGTGAAACAAAATTCTTCATCTTGTAATTAAGGATAAAATGAAAAAACAGACACTTTTTTTAACAGAATAATAAAATATCAGATAAAAATATAATAATAGAAACATTCGTAAGTTTATTACACCTCAATTGCTAGGAAGGTTTGGGATATGTTTCAAAAATGTTGTACAATGAGATTCTTGTTTAGGTTTTTTGTGGAGATTTTTATAAGAATATCTATTGTGACACATATATTCATGTTCGATCACAGGTTCTTATAAGAACGCAGGTGCTTGAACAATAACTCGGTTCTTGTCTGCATTCATTTTCTAATTATTGTTTCATATTACTTTCTAACCATTTTATTTTGTTTAATAAATTCATAAAACATATAAATTAAAATTGGTAAAAGAAAATATAGGATTATTTTAAGAATATATTTATTATTTCTTTTTGTTTTTTTTGTGTAAATTTTTATACATGTTTTTGTATTTTGTTATAATAAGTTCAATTTTTAGTTATCTCGTTATATTATGTTTAGATTATTTTTCATATACTTTTATATGTAAAAATTAAAATTAATTTATAAATAATAAAGAATTTGTAATTTTAATATATATATATATATGTATATATATATATATATTAAAATTGTATAAAAATCTATAAATAAAGTTAATTTTTTATAAATTAATAAATGAAAAGTAAGATTTTCTAAGGTTCCACCATTGTAGATAAACTACCAAGGAGGTTCCTCCTCTCTATGGTTAAATTAGGTTTTATAGGCTGCTATTTGTGCTACTTATTACTTACTTTGGTGCCACCACGACAACATAATCAACATAAATAAGTCGGACTCTGTTGATATGTTATTTGTTAAGATGCAAACTCAAATGTTTGAATGAGTATCAAGACGAACCAATAAGGGAAGCATTTCATGGGAACTATGAATCAAAAAACCAACTGCAACCCTAAATGGTGGTGTTTGATTGGTTTGAGCTTGACTTCAAATATCAAAAGAATCAGGAGGTCTCAGGTTCAAATCCAAAGAGGAATAAAAATTCTCTTGTGGGCACGGAGATTCAAATGCGGTGACTCCGGGATATCTGCAAAGCAGGTGGTCTTCCTGGGATTAGTCGGCTCACATAGCGGGTCAGATATCCCGGTTAATAAAAAAAAACCAACTGCCTCTCATTCAATAGATAAACAACCCTTGCGATTTCAAATCATCATTCGTCTTTATAATTTATTGTTGTTTTAGTCTTTGTGGTTTACAGTTCTTTACTATTTTGATCTCTTATACTTATAAAGGTAAGAATTAACTTAGAGACGAAAATAACAATAAATTACAAACTATAGAGACAAAAATTGTAATTTCTAAAATCTCAGGGACGAAAATGGAAAATTTTAACAAACCATAGGGACTAAAAATGTATTTCTACTCTTAATTTTTAAAATACTTTTCAAAGCATCTTAAGCCTGTGGGGCAGTGGGGGCCACCAAGAGGTAACCAAAAGCAATCACACGGACCAGACCAAACCTTGTCTTCCTTACACAACTTCCGATTGGACCTCGTCGTCTTGTACCCATTCGCAACTCCTCCTCTTTATAATAACCCTCACAAACCCTAAATCATCAACATTCAAATTCATCTCTCTCTACGTCTTTCCAGATCCTTCTTCCCCATCTTTGTTCGTTTGCAGATTGAAAGCTAATCTAGCTGTTGATGGAGCACTTGCTGGGTTTGCTTAGGGTTCGTATCCACAGAGGTGTTAACCTTGCTGTTCGAGATGTTTGTAGCAGTGATCCGTATGTTATTATTCGTATGGGAAAACAGGTGAGAGTTTCTGTCTGATTTGTTAATTTTATCGTTTATGCACTGATGATGATCCGGTTGACGTACGGACTCCTGAACTAGAAAATCAACTTCTGTTTCATGATTTCTTCGGTTGACCTGATGTGATTCTATTCTGAGACTTGGTGGTGGTGGTGGTGGTGACCGCCATCGACGGTGGTGAAGTAAATTTGATTACGGTCACCTACTCTAGCTGCCCGTCCATCACGCACCTCATGAATTAAAATAATACTATAGAATTAGCAAGCAGTTGTTTGACTGGAATCAAGTCATATACTATTTCCCTCTCTCTCTCTCTCTCTCTCTCTCTCTCTCTCTATATATATATATATATATATATATATATATATATTTGGCTGCACAAACGGACATAGACTGCCGTGTTCTACACTTTTACTGCTGTACATACTCCTTGACGATGGCCGGAAAAATGCTTACGGTGATATGGAGATGGCAAATTAACAGCTTATTTTTAATTACGAACATTTTCTAACAGGTTTTGAATTTTAAAAAAACTCGGAAAGAATTTGTTGGAAATGGAAAATTGCGTGGTAATTAACTGCTTTGCGTTTTTGCAAATGTGATGATGAAGAAATTGAAAACTCGAGTGGTGAGGAACAACATCAATCCTGTGTGGGATGAAGATCTGACGCTCTCCATCTCAGACCCCATCCCCATCAAACTTGTAAGTTGTTTTCTTATCCCTAACTGCTTATCATAGTTTGTATTCCATGCTTTATTACTTGTACATTGCTTTCAAATTCAAAACACTTTTCCTTTGTTGGGATGTTTGGGATTGCTTATAAAAACAAATTATTGACTTATTCCGGTGTGACATCGGTAATAAACACTTTTGAGGGTTTGGATAAACAACTTACACCGGTGCCAAAAATTTGGAGTTTTTGAAGAAGTTAAACTCTTCTAGGTTATAAAAAGTTGACAAGTGATTTTGTTGAAAAGCATAAGTTGTTACAATTAAGCAATCCCAAACACCAATATCAAGTATCTCGGTTTTTTTGTACATTTTTAATGATATAATTTTGTGGTTCAAACGATTTGATCATTTCAATCCAACCATTTTCATATATCGATTTGATCACATGATCATCTCGAATATTTCAACAAGTTAGAATTTGCTTCGAATAACCCATGAATCTTGATTTCATATCTAAGGGATTAAGGGTGATATTTCATTCTTTGATCATGGTTTTTGGGTTTTAAAATAACAGTTATTTATAGATTATCTCCAAAAGTGACACCAAAAATCTTACCCTAACTATCAAATTCTTCCACCAAATTACTCTTAACAAAAAACGCTGAATGTGGTGTAACGAATAACCGGATTTGGTGTAACACTAATTTTTTAAATTAATACAAGAAAAAGAATATACCTAGAATGTTACATTTTTTTGTAATATGTTGGAGTAGATTTATTGTTTACACCATTATTTATGGATTCAATGTTTACCTGTTGAAAATCCGCTAGATGTATCCCTTTTTTATTAACTTGGATATCCAACCCGTTATGTGAGCCGACTAGTCCCAGGACGACCACCTGCTTTGCAGATAGCCCGGAGTCACCGCATTTGAAMCTCCGTGGCCACAAGGGGATTTTTATTCCTCCTTGGATTTGAACGTGAGACCTCCTAATACTTTTAACCTTTGGAGCCAAGCTCAAACCAATCAGGCGGTCGTAACTGAATCCTCATATTAATTCCATATTCATATCATCAATATAAAAGTTATATTTTTTACATTTTCAATATTACTATTTAACTTAATTTATTTTACATCTCGGTGTACCTCATTAGTGTTGACATTCAATTAGGATTAATAGTTTGAGATCTTTTCCTATGCTTTTCACCGTAACTTTATATTTCAGTAAAATCCAACCCTTTTAACTTAAAAAGCTCTGGAAAACAAAATGAGTTATTTTTTAAATGAACTCCTCTATTGCTTCCAAATTCACCTTTGAAACATCAACATCTACATCTAACCCTTTATAAAATATATTTTTTCAATGCATAATCTGAAAAGGGTTAATTTAACAACTACTACCAAGCCCCTTAAAGTATTTGGGGGACCATTTGTGCATTTAATGAGTGGAAGCTTTAGATGGTGCTCAACATGTGGATATGATATCTAAACATGGTGTCTATAATTGCAAACAATACAGGAAGTGTATGATAAAGACACATTTAGCCTAGATGACAAAATGGGGGATGCTGTTTTCGAGATTAAGCCGTTTCTGGAAGCCATTAAGATGCGTCTGGATAATCTCCCAAACGATACGATCGTCACAACTGTGAAGCCGACAAGGACCAACTGTTTGGCTGAAGAAAGCCACGTAAAATGGGTGGACGGGAAAGTAGTACAACAGATGGTTCTTCGATTGCAAAACGTGGAATGTGGGGAGATTGAGATTCAACTAACGTGGATCGACATTCCGGGCTCCAGAGGCTTGTAGTTATTTAGCTTATCGTGAAACTCAGTTTGCGTTTTATGATTCGAGTTTTTCGTATTTCGTTTGGCATGTTTGATCTTTGATGTTATTAACGATGATGGGATGCTTGCTATTTATGTAAAAATGTGCAAGAATTGTAGGACGTCAATAAGTGTTTTAGGCCATCAATAGAGCTACAACAAAAAAGTGAAACCCCTTTAATCCTCATCAATGGGAATTTGGAAAACTATGCTTAATTTTGTCTCAAATTTCAAAAATATGCTCCATGTTAATAATATATTTTTTTTTGATTAACCTGGATATCCAACTTGATATGCGAGCCGACTAATTCTAGGGCGACCACCTGTTTTGCAGATAGCTCAGAGTCATCGTATTTGAACCTTTGTGGCTACAAGGGGATTTTTATTTAACCTTGGATTTGAATCTGGGACCTCCTGGTACTTTTGACCTTTGGAGTCAAGCTCAAACCAATCAGGCACCATCCTTGTGGTTAACGAAGCTAATTTAGGGGTGTTTGGGATTGGCTTATTTGAAACAACTTATGTTTTTCTATAAAAGTGATTATCAACTTATTATAAGTTTGAATGGTTTAACTTCTTTAAAAACTCTTTATTAACGGTACAAATTATTTATCCAAACACTCAAAAATGTTTATTACTAGTGTCATACCGGAATAAGTCACCAAGTTATTTTTATAAGCAATCTCAAACATCACTTAAACTGGCATGAATAAACTACACGGATACACTCCCCTGTCTTCTTATGCATTTATGCAAGCTTGTTGTCTTTGATAACCATTTGATAACTACTTGTCATGCTTTAAAATTCAATAAATGTGTACTGGATCGATGTGTTTGATATCTGCTTGATATATACTTTTAAATTCAATAAATATGTATTAACTCGATGAATCAAACTCATTCGAGTGTATCACTATCGAGCCAAATTAATTATAACAAACATTAAAAAAAACAAAGAAAATATAATAACAATCGAAAAACAGAGAAAACCATGATAAGGAGACAATGAGAAATGCAGAAGCATAAATATGTAGTAAGAAGACGAGGAGAAGCAGACCCAAAACATCGATGAGAAACAAATATAACTCGAGATTTGAATGGAGGGTTTGAGATTATGTTCGAAATTCTGTAACGAGAAACAAAATAGATAATCTATCTCGATAAATGATAGATTATATGAAGAGAAAAATATCCCACCGAAATTATATTTTACTAAAATATGAATAAGAGGAAAAATGATTTTATAAAAATTATATCGAACCAATATATCAATAACCCATCAAGATGAAAGGATTCTGAAAATCTTTTAAGGATTTTGTAAATTATTAAACTACCCATGTAAAATTAAAACCATAAAACCTTCCAAACTCTCTCACCCGTCTACCTTACTTTCGCTCGTTCGATTCAATCTCATCCAATTATGTTTAATTTTTCCAGTTATATTCGGTCTCATCCGCAAAGCCGTTCCTGGGAGAGGGCGGGTCGGCCGTACGCCCAGGGCCCACAAGAAATAAAGACCCGAAATTTTATCGTATATAGTAGTAGTCAAAAAATTTAATAAATAAAAGAGATACAAATTTTTTAGTACCTAATAGGACCCAAAAAGATTTTTGTCATACATTTATTAATTCATCGTTCATTTTATAGGCTTTGTGCTTCTGTAAGTTTTTTATCTGGTACAAAAATATAAAACTACCTGTTTACAAAACATTGATAAATTCTCCATCGTTTATCTCTCACTGACTTTTTTTTATTATTCCATTCGTATGAATTCTATTTTTATATTAGAATATAGTAGATTTCTTGTTATTAATTAAGAAAACTCCTACATTTAAAAAAGAAAACTACCAACCATATGAGACAGTCCAACTTATATCTGTATTTAAGGTTTCAAAACTAACCTTGTTTTTTCATACATCATTAACTTCTTATTATCTAATATTGAATGTATGAGTCTTGAGCATTTTTCTACCTCTAAAACAAGAATATGTTCTTAAGTTATAACCAACATGTGTTTTTTATTCCAAGATTGGTGGTTTCGAAAAAAATTATTTTTTAACCCTAAAAGATTAAAATGGTAATGAAAAACATTAACCTGATCTGCGATGGAAATCCAACAGATTTATATTGATTTACATAGAGTGTTACTCTGAATAGTCAACATTGTGGCTCCAAATGATGTCAATCTATATATTAAAGGTATATGATATGATGTTTTTTATGATGGAACGGATTGCCGATGTTATGTATAAATAATATGGTAGATACTATTAGTTTAAAAATATTATTGATTGATTTTGCGTCTAGTAGTACTCTATTAGAACGGTTTTATATGAATTATTAGTATTGATCCAGATATGATGTGTGAACAATGATAGTTCAACCATAGGCTCCCAAGTACCTGGATCGATCGAAAGTTCGATTATCTCAATATGCACATAAGGGAGGAGCCGTATGAGATTTCCACTCATCCAAGAATATAACTGATCGGTAATTCGACCAACGACTCTAAGGGCAGTTGCACCAGGAGTCCTTAAATTCAATGTCATTTCTAATGATAAAAATGATAGTATTAAAGATTTCTTTCCGTACTTATCAAGACCCTTATTTTACATCTCGTCCAGAGCCTATAAAATGTCAGAAACGGGTCTGTAATCTGCATGCCAAATAGTAGGGGTGCTCATGGGTTGGGTTGATCGGGTTGAAGACATTTGATCAACTCATCCCAATGTTTGCGGTTTGATAAATCTTAACCCAACTCAACCCAAACGAAAGTGCAGCCCAACCCAACCCAAAACCGTATGGGTTGGTCGGGTTAGTCGGGTTGATACTTTGGTACATTAAAATATTCTTCTAACCTTGAATATGTTATTTCTCTACTGATAATTTATTTTTCATTATCAACCATTTGATACAACTTATTCATACTTCTGTATATCACATTCAGTTAATTTTCTCAATTTACGTATATATGTTTAAAATTACTGAACATATATACGAATGAGTTATATAAATATGTGAATAGATTGAAAATATGTGTATATCAAGAGCGTACGTGATATGTTATTATCTAACGCATATATTAATATAAATTCAACAATCATATTAAATCCAATAAATAAAAGGATATCGGGTTCATCGAGTTAGATTGAGTTCAAATAATAGTAACTCAATATCAACCCAATACCGGTTTGAAAATTTTACAACTCGATTAGACATAGGGTTACTTCGGATTAAATTATTTCACGTTGGGTTAAATTGGATTAAATTGTGTTCATCGAATTAGTCGGGTTTTGAAGCACCCCTACCAAATAGAGGTCAAAGATGGAGGCTGGGTGGGTACTGCTATTGAAGACAAAGTAGATCTGTCAGCAAGTTCACAAGAAGAGAAGTACCAAAACAAAAAGAGTAAACTAAGATTTAGTCCTTATGGTTTGTCAAAATTACAACTTTTATTTATATGTTTTTGAAATTACGGTTTTTATCCTTATAGTTTATAATTGATTGGTGTTTTCGTTTCTTAAAATAACACTGTCAGTGGTTTACTGCTAAGTATGAGGATAAAAACATTAATGAATTGTAAATCATAAACACGAAAAAGACAATGAATCGTAAATCACATGGACTGAAACATAAGGATGAAAATAGCAATTTTCAACAAACTACAGGGACTAAAAACTTAGTTTACTCGAGCCAGAAAGCTTGATCTGTGGAAAAACGACAACGTCCGTGAAACGAAAATATTCTCATCTCTTTTTATCCCAAGTACTTTTTGCATAATGAGATGCCCGAAAATTAAAATTGTCGGGATACCTTCAAAAATAATTGTTGATTTTGAAAGGCTTTGGTTCGTAAAGCAACAAGACATAACCAACATAACACGTTTTCATTTACAGCTATTGGAGATGCATGTTAATTGATGCAGACCAATTTATAATCACGTCCAGATTCTTAGGGGTTGTTTGTTTACCTCTTAATAGTTCCATTAAAACAGTTTCTTAATCGTTAAGAGTTGAATTTTGTTTGGCAAAAAAAATATGCATCTTAATGTTCTAAAACCCTCTGAACGGTTTTTTATCATGGGTCTCCCTTAACCATTCAACGCCCTAATTGTATTGTAAACAATCATATTTCATTTTAAACTGTATCATGAGAGTTTCTTAATCATTCTGTACCAAACCATTCAGCAACTACCAAACAACTCTTTAATAACATAAAACTCAATTTAAAAAGAAAATACGGGTTACAAGTTTGAATGAAACGGAAAATTAGGTTTGATTGCGAAGCTTTTGATGGTTGGAAGTAGTGATGGCCAAAAACCGGTCCCGGGCCGGGGGGCCTAATCGGTCCCAAGCTTTCTCATAACCGGTCCCGGCGAAACCGGTCTCTGTTCCGGTCGAAAATGGTAGGACCGGTCAAGGTACTACATATCCGGTTATGGGCCGCCGGTCCCGGCATTAAAAAATTAAGATTTTTTTTTATAATTTAATGATATATGCTTTTAATACATTATAAAATTTACAATTGGGTCACTCATATACACTTTAAAAATGCGTTTTAATATAATTAAAATTACATTGTCTTATAAAAATATATTATAAAATTATTTGAAAATACATTTATTTATAAAATTATTTGAACTTTCGGGCCGGGCCGGGCCATAGCCAGTCCCAGTCCCGGTCGGTCCCGGTCCCACGAATCTACCAAAAACACCAACCAGTCCCGGTTTTCGGTCCCATAATCGGTCCTTACCGGTCCCGGGCCGGTCTAGGTCCCGGTCCTCCGGCCCGGCCCAGGTCGATTTGGCCATCACTAGTTGGAAGTGTCAAAAAAGTAGAAAACCATAAATACGAGATTACGAACTGATAACCCCCTTGATCGATTCTTAAATTTTTTGTTGTAAGATTAATCAGTTATATTACTCGTTTTCTAAAATGATTCCTTCTGAAAAAGACGATTCTTTTCAATTACTTTGTTTTTTTGATCAATACACGAAATAAAGTAATCAGGTTCTCTCTTAATACATATATAAAACTTGGTCGGGGTTGTTTACCTAAATGCTTACCCGGTAACCGCTTACCGTTATGAATCAACACTATAATTTATTTTCTAGGTAAGATTTTAGTATATCAAAATGGTATCGTGTGCAACAATAAATATGGTAAGCACWTACCCGGGTAAGAGTCGTCACCCTCACTTACCGGGTAAGACTT